AGTCAGAACATATCAGTACATATTCTTATCTAAGAAAGTAGTACGACACTCGTTCTCACCGTTTCGTTAGTCAGTATATTATTTACATAGTGCATGTTAATGTAAAATAACTGTTATAAGTTTTATTCTAAAACCAAATACATTTTACATATTTTATATATTACTATTTTCAAAGTGCATTTTAGTTATAATACAAATTAATTTTCCTTAATTCATTTAAACTATATGTTTATTTGTAAATATGTGAACAGAAATAGTTTTTATTAACGGTACAATATTTCAACAAACTATGATAAGTAGATAATAATTCGCAACATTAGATTATTTTGTGAGGAGAGGCAATCTACTATACACCTTAAATAAAGTTGATAACGTGCCAATTTTTTGTTGAGTTGAATGGGCTGAGTCCCACTTTAAGTAGTTATTGTTATTACTAGATTTGTGGAACATTTTCATGTTAAAACTGTTGGAGTTTCTTTCTATTATTATGTTCATGCCATTAACATAGCTCTACAGCCTCCCACACACTGGTTTAAATACGTCGCGCCCCCCAGTGGCACAGCGGTTTGTCTGTGGACTTGCAACGCTAGAAACCGGGTTTCGATATCCGTGGTGTGTAGAGCACAGATAGCCCTTATGTAGCTTTGTGCTTAACTTTAAAAAACAAACAGGTACGTCGACGATGTATTTTGTGAATTTGAATACAACAACCATCAAAAGTCATTTCTACAACATGTAAACAACGTTCAGTCTGACATCAAATTCACTGATGAAGAAGAGAATGAAAACCAGGTTTTGAATTATGTCGTTGAAAAAAGTTAAATAAAAATAAACAATCAACTCAAAAGCTGCATCTTTGAACTTTTAGTTTATTGTTATTGTTATCAAGTGGCAACATAATAATGTTGATATGTTGGTTCTTTCTCTACAACTTAAAGAAGATAAATTATGTGTCTGTGTGTGTGTGAGCTTCTATCACCCAGAGTTGGTGGGCTTAGTTACAGTAAGTTTTTTGTATGGTAACTGGACACTGTCCAACTGTATTATGGACTACTTTGTTTTAGAATTTTTGTCTAAAATAATTTATAAATACCCTAAAATATAGACTTTTACAAACTTTTGGCTTTGCATTTAAAGACACAAGTACTTAATAAGTTAAATGAGCCAATTATTACCTCCCACAAAGCTGGGTAGGCAAATTGCATCTAATGAGGTCATTAGGGGTTTCATAAAATATAAAAAAACCGGAAAGGGAAAACACTGTCCTTTATATAATTTTTCTTTCCTTAACTGGTACCCTCAGCTAGTTTATTTAAACGTTTGATTATACACATAAGCCCTCGTTCGGCAATAATGCCACACATAATCAACTGAAGAGGTAATAAATAGTTCAACTACACATGTAGAAAATAATGCACTACTTATTCATATTTAATTAAAATGTATATATATATATACGAGAATGTATATGTACACCAGCTAATCACTTAGTAATTTGCAGTTGTTTGTGATGAATCTTTCTATCCTTCTAAGTGGTTAGTTCCTACACACGCACACACATATATATATCTTTAACGATGTTTTTCAATTATATCTAAATTGAAGGGTGTGGCTTCATGCTATTCAGAAAATACAAATGGAAGAATTATGATAGTCGATTCTGAGTGTTTGCTCATAAACTATTAATGCTATACATAATAATGTCCTATACTTGCGAAAGTGAGACAGAAGTTGCACTGACGAAATATGGTATTCGTGAGAGAAAGGACAACACATATAAAGTTATTCATGAAATATATAACTCTACAAACCTCAAGGCATATTTTTCATGGTTTAAATATATTTGCTTACTCTGTCTTGCAGTATCACATAAAGGAAAAAAAAAGTTATTAATTTAAATTCCCCATTTTTTCAGGTTTCCTGGTCTTTTATAACTATAGTCCCTTTATTCATTTATTCGAAAGTATTATTAAAAGGCTTTATCTTCTGCATAAGAATACTTTCAGTAGAACGTATCACCTATCATTTCCTCAGATAAGCCCGAAGCAAAAGACCTCAGTTAAAGTATTTTATAAAGCGAGGACTCGTTACAGAAAATTATTTAGTTACTGGAAACGAGTTTAGAATATAGTTCACATTATCAGTATTGCTACTTTTCTTACTGAACTTTGATAGTGGAAAAAATATTGGTTTGTTTGTTTTTCTTTGTCTTTTAGTGTGGGTGAAATAATCATGCCTCATTTATAAAATAATGTTTTAAAAAAATGGTCAAATATGCTATAGTGTTTTAAGATAGACTTTTTTACACATTTTTAGTAAAGTGATGATCCATTATATACGTGTATGTGTGTATGTTAGCATCTATCAGCCACAGTTGGCTGGACCCGATTATCGCTACATTTGATATGATAATTAGAAACTGTCCAACATTGACTGTTTTGTTATAGGGTTTTGCTCGAGCAGAGGGATAAGCATTACCCTAAAATAGGGCACATTTCCCCCCCTTTTTTTTAGACTTTTGGCTTTGAATGTAATAACACAAGTATTTGATCAGTTAAATGAGTCAATTATTTTACCTTTCACACAGTAAGGTATGCAATTAGCATCTAATGAGATCATTAGGAATTTAATAAAAAGAGAAAGAAGGAAATGGAACATTATCTAACACTATCCTTTATAGAAATTTTGCTTCTTAAACGAATACCCTTGGCTAGATATTTTACACCCTTATATAAAAAATAATCAGTACTTACAGCTGTAAATCAACGTATCATTTCAATATATTTTGAGAACATACAGTTTCTTTACTTAATATATTTTCACCTTATTCCTTAATATCTTACTCCACGCTGTGTGATTTATCCTGTTACAAAGAAAAAGAAGTTTCTGATTTACAGATGGAAAGACCAGCAGCGAAGGGTGAAAAAGGTGTCTTACTACAGCAAACATGTAGCACTTACAAGTACTTTTGGTTTGCGATGTAAATTGTATTGATTTTCTGGAAAAGTATTTCAGCGTAGTGTCAGCCTTTTGCTGCGTCTTCGTGAAAGGTTCTTTCTGCCTTTCATTACTGTTACACAACATCATTTTCATATTTTCATTATTTTATATTAATTGGATACTTTTAAACGAAAAAATAACTATTAGTATTCTATTATTTATTTATCCATATTGTACAAATAACATTTGGAATATGCTGATCGTAATTATCCATATTTTCAAACTATATTCTATATATGTATAAAATCTAGCTATTTTTAAAATTATTTTTTGTGATAAAGTATCGATTCATAGGATTGTTATTAAAAATACTCTCATATTTATCTTGATTATAAGCTCTAAAATGTATGTGTTGTAGGGATATTAGATTTCACCAGAACATTATGCATGAAAGTTTCAAAAACTATCACTAAAACGTGTTCAACGTGTTTCGTTCTCAATCAGTATATTAAGCCGTTTCCTAAATACGTTATTGCAAATATTATCTATTCTGCTCCTCAGTCTGTATCTAGTGAAATTGTGTTCCCCATGGTTTAGTGGATTTTAAGATATGATAATTTATATAGGGTATTCTTCATAATTCCCATGTATATTAAGTGTGTATACAACATAAACAAGTCTGTTTCTTTGTATTTTAAGTTGATAAATACTGGTTCAGTTAGAAACAACCCGAGAAACCGTAAATCCCTGGGTTTTCAATCAGTATTACATTTATTATTTATATGAACATTATTACTCTTAGTGAAGTCCCCCTGTGGGACAGCGGTAAGTCTATGGACTTACAACGCTAAAATCAAAAACAAAACTCTGAGTAAATCTAACAAATCTACCGAATTCCCTTTAACTAGTTCAACAATTATTTTACAAGTATATTAAACTGCAAGGCTGCGTTTTCTGGGTTTAACGTTTTGAAATGTCTTCCTAAATAAACCTGTTCGTTTTACAACCTAACATTTGATATTTATAGCAGTGTCGCAAGTAGCCTAATATATTATAAAAGTTCCAATGCTTTCCAGTTACATTTGGTTGTTTAAAAGGAATGTTGTTTACAGAAAGTCTTATTCTTGTATACTGTTTAACAAAAACTTATTATAATCATTCTATTATTCTAGATTTGATGTTGTTATTTTGATACAAATATACTAAAAAACATTTTTTTTCTTGAAATACTCATATGTGTATTAAACTGTTTCTTGCTTAAGTATAAAGCCAACACTGGAATCACGTTATAGTATTCTACCAGTATAGTTTCTTTATCTTATTTTACTATACTTGACAAATAAATTGTGAGGCCGTATACACGTAAGGAGTGCTTTATGACGGCATAATGGATGTTTTCGACCCCCTTTATTTTGCTATAAGTTTATATAATTGATTTAATTTCCGTGCATGTTAGCGTATGTAATTTCACAGAGTATTGGTAAAAACTAGCTGAATTCCTTTCACCCTGGTTCCCCTAATGTTTTTGTGCGGGAAGAGTTCTGTAAAGTAGAATGCACAGTGTGAAGTAAACAGCGACCTTTTTCTACATGGGGGATGCCTTGAGGTTATAACTTCCATTAATTTTTGATGGAACTGGCCAAAATTGAGCATTATTGTTCACCGTGTACAATGCTTTCTTTTCTCAGTTTGGAATAGTTTTTAAAGAGTTTTGCAGTTCTTCACAGAGATTTGGAGAACTTTTCTTGTCCCAGACGAGAGATTCAAACTAATATATATGTGTGTGTATATGTTTGTTTGAATAGATTTGAAATTCATTCTTTGAGTAACCATAGTGTATAAAGAGAGCTACTGTCTAAGAGTAATATTTATTTGAAACTAAGATATTTTAATAATTGTCAATTCCATTATAGTCTTCACAGCTCCAATAGGTAAAGAAAAGCAACGTTTTGATTAGTCAGCTATCTATGAATGAGCAAAGAAGTTAATAGGTAGCTTAAATATTCGAATAATTTTCCAAATATTTTGGTGCGAGCTTTTCTTTTTCCGATTTTAATCAGGTGCTGTCGTTGAGCGCTGATGTTCTTCCAGAGCACAAGCTTCAGAAGCCCAGAATCAACAAATGGACTATCCTTCACTACTCTCCTTTTAAGGCCTTTTGGGACTGGATAATACTCTTGTTAGTCATTTACACCGCCATCTTCACACCTTACGTTGCAGCGTTCTTGCTGAATGAGAACAGGACCAAGCGTAACAAGAATTACGGCGACGACCCTATCGTCATTATCGACCTTTTAGTCGACGTCATGTTTATCATCGATATACTCATCAATTTTCGGACAACTTATGTCAACTCAAATGAAGAAGTCGTCAGCCATCCAGGTCGGATTGCTGTCCACTACCTTCGAGGTTGGTTTATTATTGACATCGTGGCAGCAATTCCTTTTGACTTGCTGCTTTTCGGCTCCGAGACTGACGAGGTAAGTCCATGTTTTCTCTAGGTTATTATATTCAAAACTTATTATAATTCATCTTTATAGAGTATGCATATTTAAAACCTTTCACAACTCGTTCGAATTTCACATAATGCTCACGCAATAAGGATGCTAGTATTTGTGGTTTAAAAAATTGCATCATAGTATAAAACCAAAAGACAAACTGTTAAAACAAAATAGAAACAATCTAGAAACCCAGCAGAACAAACACCATTAATCTAAGTCTAAATAAAACAACTGATATACAGGGAAAATGGAAGGTTTTGGAAGGTAATGAGATATAGACGATGACGATAACTCAGCTCAATAACGAGAGAAGAAGCTATTGCAATCATTATTAACATTTGAACAAAGCACCTTGTTTAAAGGTAAAAGATAGAATTTCAAGAAATATTTTTCGAGGTACAATAGATGCATCAGTGAGAAAAATAAGCGTATTTTTCAATTAATATAGGCTAATCATCGGTAAGTTATTCCATGTTTTAATTGTTTGTAAGATTTAATGTATTAACGTCTTCTGTATTACGCTTTGAGCTTTTACATAATTTCTCAAAGAATATTCAACAATAGTTTTTCATATTTGAATCTTTCATCTTTCTTATCATATAATATTTGTATTTCTTTAAGGAATTTGATTATTTGCTAATTTTCGTAATTTCGAGCAGTTCATGTACAGTTACTACAATGACGAAAATTTAGAGTTTCGTAAAATAAACTGAGATGTTGCGTTTTTTAGATGAAAAACTGTTAAAAAGTAAATTAAGTAAATAATATTATAATATTTAAGTGTAAAAGTTATAATAATTATACATTTGTTTAACATTGATTTGAGATAAACCAAACCATTTATTTGTTGTTTATTTTTTGGGAAGTCAAACTTTTCTTTAAAGAATTTCCCAATTTTGCTCCTAAACTATAGTATAATAAAAGCTCAAGGTTTCTAAAATACTTAGCGAACAGATTTCGTATTGTAAATAATAATAATGTTTTTCAATCTTTACTAATTTATATGATAATTATTATAATATGAATTATACCAAATTGTTCAACTTTATTAAATATTTCAAAACGTTCTATTGGCCACTGTATCAGAAACCTTCAGTTAATATCGGACTGCATCAATTATCGTCCAGATAAAAGCTTGGTCTTGGCGTGGAATCCACAAGAAAACAGACGGTATCTTGTTCAATTGCAGTGTATTCACGGAGATGTGTATTCTGTTATTGCAGCAAAGAATTACATGACGAATAGGACATTGAAATTCATCTTAATGTGCTTCATCAGATGGAGGTTTGATGATTTTGTTGACCAAGAAAGATATTTTGAAAGATATTGTTGTGCTCTACGAACTGAACTCCAATATTTCGAGCACAATGGAATGTTATCGCTTTGGAAGAGCCTTGTCGGTAGTGGTAGAAATATAGCACTGTGGAATGGTAATATTCATCAACGACTTTCAGGGCTTGCATTGTCTCAACAACACAAGATGGTCAAGTATTTTTACTATATTGTCCGTACAGACCGCATTATATACTTGTTTGTTTGTTTTGAATTTCGCGCAAAGCTACACGAGGGCTATCTGCGCTAGCCGTCCCTAATTTAGCAGTGTAAGACTAGAGGGAAGGCAGCTAGTCATCACCACCCACCGCCAACTCTTGGGCTACCAACGAATAGTGGGATTGACCGTCACATTATAACGCCCCCACGGCTGATAGGGTGAGCATGTTTGGTGAGACGGGGATGCGAACCCGCGACCCGCAGATTGCGAGTCGAGCGTCCTAACCACCTGGCCATGCCGGGCACTGAACTTATTGCCTACAGATTGTGCTCTAAACACCACTGAAGTCTTCCTTTTCTATTTGTATCAGAAATAATAATTATAAAACAATAGAATAATTGTAGACTTCTATATGATAAGTTTGCAATGCCTTTCGTATCTTACAATTAAAAGTAGTCAAGTCTTGACCAATATTGAAGGAACCAAACATATGGACAGTCTGTCATTTGTTGATTTTCACATCCAAGACCAAATGTTTTCTACTTTGGTCAGTATCTAGTTACTGGGACCACAGCTTTCCTTGTGAAAGGCACATTTCCAATCGATTGCAATTGTTTACAGACATTGAAGATAAATGTCTTGGAACACCTGGTCAAATGCACGATATTTGATAACGACTATTCTACTATACCAACAACGAGATCTTGAAAGTCAAAGATATATTTTACTCATACTTAAACTTATAAACTGACCGTGACATAAAAACATTTTTGTTTTACTCTGTATAGCTTGAAAGTAGAAATATACCAAGGTACGCACTCTAGGTCTTTACTTCTTGTTTTGTTTTTAACACATTGCTGTAAAAATAATCAGTCAGATGTATAATGTATTCAACAATGATTTTTATTCTTGTTTGACCAAGAACAAAGTTCAGTCTTTATTCTCTTAACCGTAGTTTGTACGTGATCTTATCACATTAACCCAATTTCCATTTCTGTGTTAGTTTGTTTCATTAACCTGTAAGATTCTTGATCGCTTATAGTCTAAGCTTTTGGAAACTGAACTATTAATTATAGCTAGTTCAACTTCAAATATTAGCTTACTATAATTTGCTACTAAATAAAAACTTCTAGAATTACATTTATTCTGCTTTGAAGTTAATTGAAAAAAAAAAAATTCTGTCAAACGTTTTCAACATCACTTGTAGAAAGTCACTAAAATGCGTTGTTGTAATTCCTTTCTGATATTGAGCAATTAATCTAATATTTAAATTTTTATAAAATAATTTTTAATTTTCCATTACAAATATTATACATCAGTCTTAATTTTGTCATCCGTTAAAGTAGACTGTAAGAAATATCGTTGCGCTATAAAACATTTAATATAAACAATTGCTAGTTCTTCCATTCTGAAGTTGATATGAACAGGTTTGTCAAGAATAATTATAATACAAGAAAAGTTAGGTCTAGTTTCCAACTGTTAAATTTTATGAAGTAATTAACATTGAAACCATAACAATAACTTTTGACATTACGGAGAAGTGCATACCGGCGCAAGTGTTACAACAGTCTCAATTACATGCATCGCTGTTAACCCCTAGTTGTTGTTTCTTTTGTGTGTGTGTGGGTGGGTGTTTTTTTGTCGTAGTGGTTTATTGAATGTCAGTTTGAAAAATGTTCAATATGATATCCCTCTTCCTATCTTTTACTGCCTGGTGAAGTTGATCTGCATGACACGGTGACTTCTGGCGGCCCATAATCAATCAGCGTGGAAGTAGCCACGAGCAGAAGTAGTATTGCTACTTCTATAAATAAAGTGATGTTGTTTCCTCTTCACTTGTTCATTCATAATCACTTCTTTACGTCTTTAATTTGCGTTTTAATCATGCATGGCTTTAGATAACAGTATAGTATCTTTTTAAAGAACAAACTTTGTAACAATGAATGTTCTTATTATCAATAACTCAGTTTTCGGAACTTATTGATGCCGTATTAATGAAAATGGAAACTCTTTTGTAAAACTTTGTTTAAAAAATTAATGAAAAACTTTTCACAAGCTTTGCTCATATATTCAGACTATGATTATTATTTAAACTACATGACGTCAAAACTTTATTTTCTCAGAGAGTTATTGATCGTACTCATTTAAAACTAATATGTTTCTCCAATTTTGGAGTGCCACACAAAATGCTGCGATCACGAACAAGTTCTAACACCTAAAGTATTGGACGTTTATAAATGTTACTATACTCTGTGTGCTTCATCCAATATCTGGATTATCACATAATGCAATACCATTATATCTTAAAGACTCATCATTTGCTATAGCTGGTGTTTTTGCATGATGTAACCATACAAAGAAATATAATTAAAAAAAAAACATTATAAAGTTCAGTAATTTGGAAATGTCAACGACAATCGAATTAACCTAGATATGAAATCAGACTTGCTTATTTCTGTTTATTACTAGATTTCCATGTTCAGTAAACATTTCATTCCTTAATTGTATATTCAATAAAAACCTAAAGATAGCTCAGCGGTAAGATTGAGGGCTTATTATGTTAAAATTAGGGTTTGATCCGTGCAGTGGGCAAAACCTAGATTACACATTGCCCAGCTTGGTGTTTAGCATCAAAAAAAAAAAAAGGTTTAGAGACCAGGAATGACTTCTGCATGTTGTCTCTAAATAATATGAGCAAGTTCAATATTTCTATCATGCGTTATGACGCGGGAAGAAAAAAAAATGAATATACGTGCATTTTCGTCCTGAAAAAGCTATAGTATAGATAGTTTAAAATTTTTCAAAAACCTTTTTGTCCGTGCATTCAATACAAAAATTGGATTTTTTTTATAAACGTTAGGAACTAGTGGCTCTTAATATTAATGTACCATAGTCAAAGACTAACAAATGCTGCTTTTTTAAGTTAATGTCAAAGCCAAACATTTCTGTTGATTTGTTTGTTTTTTTTTTTTTTTTGGTTAAGAGTGATTTACTTAATATTGTCATCCATGAAGTAAAGCTACATATTAAAACGCCGACTCATGCACCGTTTTTAATTGTAGGAAAATTAGTTTCTTAATTTTCCTAAATAGAATCTTTATTTATTAACACAAAAGAATCAAAGCTTCAAACAAGTCCCTGCTTCGGCCACTTAGCCCCATTTCTATCTTTAAACAAAAACGGTTGTAAGATATGTTGAGCAGATTTTAAAATTTTAAACCGAAAATGTAGATGGTCACTTTCTTTTTCTCTACGCTCAGACCACAACTCTGACTGGTCTGCTGAAAACAGCTCGACTACTAAGATTGGTGAGAGTGGCTAGAAAAATCGACCGCTACTCAGAGTATGGAGCAGCTGTACTGCTTTTGCTCATGGCTACTTTCGCGCTAATTGCTCATTGGCTCGCCTGCATCTGGTATGCCATTGGCAACGCCGAGCGCCCTCTTCTAACCCACAAGATAGGCTGGCTTGACCACCTGGCTAATGCCACCCACCAATTCTACAACAACTCAAATGGAGGACCAAGCATCAAAGCCAAGTATGTGACTGCATTGTACTTCACATTCAGTAGCCTGACAAGTGTGGGTTTTGGCAACGTCTCTCCAAACACAAACATGGAAAAGATCTTCGCCGTCCTTATTATGCTCATCGGATGTAAGTTTTCATTTCTTTAAACAGTTCTCATAGTAATTATTTTGAGAGTTTCAAGAAGTTAGGGAACACTTAAGCAACTTTTTCAATTTTGTTATATCATGTCCAAAAGTTGTTGTTGATGCTCATTGTAATTATTACGTAATTAAAAAAATAAAATTAACTTAACTTACAATAATTTTGTAGCAGTATGCGATTAACTCTCTTTCAATGCTCTACGCTCCGAATACGTAAAATAGTCATTTTTCCCTATGCTGAAAATGCGTTACGTTAGAGGCGTCAAACACCGCAAGGCAGGATAACCAGTTCACTGTGTGGTATGATTATTTCTATTGTCAATGTGTTCACTGGTTTGTTTTGTCGATCGAAATTGTCTATTTGTATTTTAAAAACGATTTGCTGTGTGGTATATGGCTGAAATAATAGAATTGGCACACCACCAAGTTGAAGTTCAAGCAACACACAAAGCTTGTATTCATAACAAGAAGAGATCAGACTTTGCGATATAAGTACAACGAACCATAATCGACTTCGCACTGTACATTTTGAGAGAACGTGTTTAGCCAGTAATCCCATAAAAATGGCAGAAATGGGATACAATGGTGATAGAATTAAAGTAAAATCAGAAGATATTTCCTGGGTGGATGAAATGTTGTCAGATAGTTCAAAATGAAACACTTTAGCGAAATTATCGTGTCCGGTTGTGGATTTTTTGAAAAAAATGGCGTCATGCTGATGTAAGGAACTTGATGTTTCATTTGTCTGTCGTTTGCGGTAGATCAGCTAATATAACTTTAAAATAATTATTAATACAAAATTTAAAACTGTGCTTTAGCTAGTTTGTTGAGAATTGAACGTTTACAACCTTCTTGCGCACGAAAGATATTGCATCAGCTTAAATAGTTCTTTCTATTTATCGGATGTGCCTCGATCTTAATGGCAATATAATAGTCTCTCATTATTTTCTCCAGATTCCTCTGATTTGTTCAAACTGATATGATGTGGCACAATTTTATTAGGATACGATGACGATATACGAATTTCTGATCGTGCTTCATAAAATTCACTTATATATACAAGGCATGGCATCATGGGCGAGATGATTAGCACCTATGTATTTGGCTTACAATGAATTTCTTACAATTTAACAGTGCAAAGTCCCCATGGTTGAAATTATAGTTCGATGAACATATATATTAATACACTTTCAGAATAAGTATATTCATATAACAAAATATTTTAATAGTTATATAGCAAGAGAACACATTTTGAAAAGAGAGCCTTCAATGTTCTCTATGGAAGCGAAACACACGCGGAGTAGAGCTATAGAACAGCGACAGGCTATGAAACGTTACCCAAAATCAACTCTGGGCAACGTCCTTTTTAATAAAGTGAAGACTATGGTTATTCAAGGAAATTCTCCTACATAACAATTCATAGTGATAAAGCTGGATATATCTCCAAACAAGATTAACAAGAAAATATACAAGTTTTGAAATCGAAAAAGTTTTCAAAGCTAAAAGTTCCCAAGGTTACAATCACTCAGTGAAATAAAAAAACAACTGTTTTCATGCAATGGGTGTCTAAGAAATGGGAATCACATTAACCCAATTCAATCGCATACCTTTCAAGTCCCCGTTCCCCGCTGCCAGCTTCAGTGACTTTTGTGAATATGTTTTTTTCATAAGCGTTGTCTTGAAAGCTGAATTCACGTAAAGTGGAAGAGTATTTGGTATTCTGAACATTAATGCACTACATGTGACACATAGACTAAAGTATTAGGTCAGAAATATTGATGTTCAGGCACAGAAACACCTAATTTATAACTACTGATTACAGGTAAAGAGACCAGTCAGCAACACTTTCAAACTATGCGGCTACTCATAATCGAATAGGGAAAGTAACTGTTATAAATTGTTATAATGCTCCAAAGCGGATTGTGTTTTAACGACACATCATGGATCGAGTTTTGGACCTTTGATGTCCTCAGCTCGACACATAAACCATTAGGCCACGTCCGGCCATAGAGCAAAGGGTTTGTGGAAAGCTTGTCAAGATGTATTGTTTCACATTGACCACAGGGTCCTTTACAGAAGCTTATTATCATGAAAACTTCGGTGTCGACCAATGGCGAATAATCATAGTCATGAGATTAAGAATGATAATGTGTGAAGGAAATAATCCCATGGGACCTGAAACATCATTCACATAAAGCGTACTCTTAAATCCCAATATTTTAATCTTAGGAATGTTAACAAAATAAACTTAACCTGTTTAAATTATATTTTAATAATCAACAAAAATCCACATAATTTACCTTGGAAGGGGAAAAGACGAACAATATCATATTCTTTTAACATTTATTTCTTTAAAAATTACCCACGATCATGAACTAGAAAATACTTCAAATTAGAAAGTCCATATAAACAAGTATTTTAACTTTTAATTTTACTGCATGTTTGGTTAAAACGTAGTGTTGTTAAAACTTCAGCAGATACAATAACATAACAAGATCATTTTACCATATATTCCGAAAATTGGGAAAGACTTCTCTGGTATTTGTGGAAAATGAAAATACAAGCGTAAATGGATTACATTGAAAACTTAACTTTGTTAAGATTACCATGAAATAACCGAGACATATTCAATAGCTTTACATTCCTAAGAGAGCGACACAACATGAATCAAAATATCATGGAAATATCTCCCAAAAAGTATTACCCTAAACCTAAACAATTGAAACTATTGTTATTTTTAGAGATTGCTTGAATTTTTCAGATATTCTTTATTTAGTGTACATATAATATTTGTTATATACGAATTATTATAACCATGTCAAATTAGTGTAATTATTAAAAATTATTTAATATTTATTTGCAATTTTCGTTTTTTATTGTGTGTTTTCGTGAAACAGTTGTTATCCCACAAGAACGGTGGTTCCAAACCGTTTTCGTTTTTTTCGGAATGAGACCGAGTACTTAATTACAATGTGATTTTCATGCCTGCATTATAAATCAAACATAAATTTACAAGAACAAAATGAAGAGATATAAGAAAATGTTGAAATATATTAAAATACCCGAAACCCCCTAATGGCTCAGCAGTAAGTCTGAAGGTTTATGACGCTAAAAAATATAATTATATACCCGTAGTACAGCATAGATAGTCCATAGTGTAGCTTTTTGTTTAGAGACAAAAGAAAAAAAAATATGTTCCCTGTAAACCAGTATGAAAATAAACAGGATATGGTTTTAGGCCTTGGTCCTATGGTTAGAAAACAGTGCAGCGGGCATTTTATTTGTTAGAAAGTTTTAGAGCAATGGTTGCATTAAAATGGTTCAATAGTTTTGTAATCTTCCTATTATGTACGAAAGCTTGCCTATAAAAGATTTCTTCTGGAGACTGAAGACTTGTCACTTAAAAAAACGAGAAAACGATAAGGAAGACCAGGAGTTGTTTATTTATTATTAAAAATTATAAAATTATTTATAAATCTTTGATCAGACTAAGCATTAATTAGAATATATTCTTAGTTTACGTGCTTATTGATAGCAACATAGCTATCAGAAATAGATATTTTATTTTGATTTTTTTATAATACCCGTAAAATAAATAATTTCACTGGAAATTTAATTTCGAGAAATAATATTAACATTCTAAATACTTCTAAAGAATAAGTACAGATCATTATTTAATAATAATGCTATTTCGATGAACTACTAACTGAACTTATTTTCAAACTACATTATAGCTCTCATTTGTATCATTTCTGAATTTAATGTGGTTGGCCTTTGTTCTTGGTAAGTGGTACCTATAATGTAAAGATTTTTATTACGAAACCTATATTTTCTGCAGCTCTAATGTATGCCAGTATTTTTGGTAATGTATCTGCCATCATCCAGAGATTGTACTCTGGAACCGCTCGTTACCACACTCAGTTACTCCGGGTGAAGGAGTTTATTCGGTTTCATCAGATTCCAAACCCACTTCGACAGAGGTTGGAAGAATACTTTCAGCACGCCTGGACTTACTCTAATGGTATCGACATGAATATGGTACGTTGCTAGTTAGATCATATTCTTATTAACATGTACATGGTAGATTAATAATGGCTACTCAGATTGGCATTATAAAATTAACTTCATACTAATTTTTGACATTGTCTGCAGTTAGACTTCGATGCATACACCATTATAAAACTAATTCATAATTATTGTAAAGAGTGGTTCAATTTCATTTGAAACAAACAAATCTGCGTTTAATGCCCTTAATGATTACATAATTCTAATTCATTGCTATCAATTAATTCATTTATTATTATCGCTGTGTGTTTTTTTTTTCAATTCTTAACCTTGTATTTGAACTTATAAATGATATTTTTAATATATTAATCATATGCATAATTCGGTTTTACTTTCTATTTTATCTTCATAAGAGAAAACTTTGTTATAATTAACACCCTATTCCTGGTAATATTTGTTATATTTTACATTTTTTTTTTCAAACGTAAATATATTTTTAGGCCCAGTGTCTTTTTCAGAATTGTTTATTTAGCAGATTTGTTTTTGGTTTCATAAAGAGTACAGAGACATAACTTAGATTTTACGAGTTTTGATTTTTAGGTTTTAGAATTATATATGATTTGAAAAATACAAATATGTATTTATGGAAATACTCTTTTACAGATACGTGTAGTAATACAAATCATAAAAATTCTATTGTAGTAATCAGACTTTAATTTTTAAAGAAAAAAATTATTCTTCATTGTTTAAATTATAATAAAACATATTGTTTTTGTAACCATAAATAAAATACAATACAAATTACTTATTTGCAAGCATTCATACATAAACAAATCCGTTTCTGATTATTATATGGTCAAACTTGATCAAAATAGCAAATATCTGCAGCCTTTTCAGTATCTAGCTGTAAAAAGTATAACTTATATATACTTCATACTTAAACAGCACAATAATAATTCATTAAAATAGTATCTATCAGATAATCAAATAACTATTTCTAAACATTATGAATCGATATATTTCCAATGATACACTCTTTTATTATATTTTGTATAGGTAGCATATAATATCAAAAGAGGAAAAGCTTTAAAATAAAAACTTAAATAAAATATTTAGCATTAACAACCTTTGTTAAAAAAAATAAAAGTTATGTTCTATCGCTGTGTTAGGTTAATATTTCAAACAACACATATTTCATAAATGTGATATGAAAGTTAAACAGCGAGTTCAAATTGTGAAAGTCAGTCCTGTAAGTCAAGTGGTAATGACTATTGTAGAGTCTCTTTGTTTGTTTTAGAGCAAAGCTACATTGGGCTATCTGCTGTGTCCACTGCAGGGAATCAACCCCGGATTTTAGCGTTGTAGGTCCGTAAATTTACTGCTATACTACTGAGGGACTTGTAGAGTCTGAAATTCTGATAATGATCATAGATCAATATTCTTGTAAAAATTAAAGAGTAATGAAACAGAGACGTTAACAACATATTCCATCAAAATCTAACTCCAGTATACCTTAAGTAAATTATGTATAATATAGCAAAACTGGTATAACAAGTTTATTAAGTGATATAATGTTAGTAGTTAGGGCATTACTTGAGAGGCGGAAGTTGTCATGCCACCATGACACTTGATGATGTACGATGTCTGCTATTAGAGAGCGTGTTGCTAGGAGATGTCAGATGACATCATAGTTCGAGTGTTAAACAAACTAGGACGCGTTGCTAGGACCACGATGTGGCACCAGAGGGCGTGTTGGTAAGATCACCGCACAAATAGTTTGTAAGCAAACCACTAGAGAATGATCTAGTTCAATGTGTAATCAACTTTATCGTAACACCTTGGTCAATTTGACCACCCACGTGACCTATTTGTACTCATTTCAAGTCTTTATAGATTTAATACTTCTAACTTTCAATGTAATATGTATATCTTCACGAAATGTGTCAGTCTTTCAGTTAACATTATAAATATTTCACATACAAAGAATCTTATTTTTAGTGAAGTATTTTTAATAAACTAAAATAAAGAGTTGTCCATGAATATATTGTGTATTTGTTTTGAATAGTCCACGTGCAAAGTAATTTTCATGTTAAGATTAAAAATAGTTTTCTTCATTTCAAAAATCTCAAATTTCCTATGAGTATTCCCTAAAACCTCCTAAGTACATCTCAAACATTGTTTTTTTTTCAGTAAAGATTTATATTTTATCTGTTATTTTATCTACCCTATCTACATACGGGATCAGTCAATTTGACCAACCTCGTAAACACCAGTACGAATTGTAACCTTTAAAAACTGTTTCCTTACCATTAAAAATCGTGAACCACGCAGTAATTTACGTCATGAATTTTGGTTTCCTGATCACTCTAAAAAAACACAACAAATATTTTAGATGAATCTTTGACGTCTTTATTCTGGAGAAAACATAAATGGTTATTTAAAACAAACGATTTAGATTTTACATATCTTATTTCACACATCCATGAAAATCTAGTTTAGGTTGTTTTTTTGTTAATAATAAAACAAAAAAATATATTGATAAAACTTTCTCACATAAAGATATCGTTTGTTTTACATTCTTTGTTTTATGCATATTATAACAGTCTACCAACTTACAAAACCTGTTATAATCAGCAAAGTCTATGCGTTGACCTTTGGTACATTCAGTACTGTAACAAATATTACAATAAGCCGAATAATGATGTTCATTTAAATCTTCAAATTCCTTGTTGCATTCACAACAATAATAATTTACCCCGAGGAAACCCGTCATTGACGTGATAACGTCAAAATGATTGTCATGATACCAAGGAAAATCTTTTCAAGACGTGAAAACCTTTTATAAATTATGCGTTTGAAATTATCTGAAGAAATTATATGTACATGAGTGTTTAAATGAAGTTAAAATTTTGAAATTTCTTCTATTCCACAAAGTTTTTCTGGAATATTAGATGAAGCATGTAAGTTTTAGCCATACATCTCAGTAGTAATCTTCGCTGATCACTAATATATATATATATATATGGGATCTTTTCAGAGGGATGCTAAAGCTATTACTATAGCCTTAGCACAGCAAAGGTCATCGTTATTCTTTATAAAAATAATTGATCATGTTTTTAAGTCGTTTAAGAATAGATATTTGATAACTTACCATTCCGACTACCAACAGGTAATTCCATTGTAGTGGTCTCGATTTTAAAAGACTCGTCTAAAGATATGTACCTTTTACTTTGATTTACCTTTTCGATGTTTGTTATGATCATGCCGGATGAAAACAGCTCTTTTTTTTGTAAACGAGTACTTATTGGTTTATCCAACTGATTAGAATAAACACAAACCCTAACTTTATCTCTGTTGTTTAAATGACTTGTTACTTCATCCAGTAGGTTCTGAATATTCTTATTGAATGTGTTCATAATGTTTCTAAATGGCTGTCCGGAGGATTTAGGATTAAATTATATGTTGTACGTTGTAGCAACTGTATTGTATTTTTTAACTCTCGTATTCCATGTTTTAGAAATAAATTCTTCTTCTTCCTTGTGATTAATTAACAGATGCCTGTAAAAGACAGAAAAAATGAGTATAAGTATAGAAAAACGTATTAATCAATATAATTTCGTAAAGGAAATTAAACCAATTTACACTATTCAGATATACAAATATTTAAATTCATCCAAGCATTGAAACTTACCTCCTCTTCCTCGTTAGACGAGTATTTGAAACCTTGATAAGTTTGCATTTACTAGTGTCTTCATCATAGGATGTTTGTAAAACAAAGAAATGAATGTGATAATTTTGTATTAGCGCAGAAAATCGTATTAATCAATATAATTTTGTAAACAAATATGAAGACAACTTATAATATTCAGTGCCTCTAAGTTATCAGTTTCTTCAACAGTTAGAAGCCACAAAGTAAGTACATTCTACCTACTTGTAGGCACACATTTCTTTCTAATTCATTAAGCTTGTCACGGATGATGGATAGTGGGACTATATCATATATAAATATACAGTTATAAATATTGTATCTTGATTACATGTTATCAATATCTAAATAGCCCTGTGTTTCGTTTAGTTCAGGAATATATTTAGAAACCAATAATATTACTTACAGCATATGAGTTGTCCATAATTATCACTAGTATAACTACAAGATAACGTAATTGCATGAATATTGAATTCAACTGATTGTAGACTGATTTGACTGTTTCCTGTATATTACAAAATAGAGTTGGTCAACTCAAGACTGTCCTGTATCATGTGTCGCAAGTTGTGAATCATGCACAAGTTCTAATTAAAATACTAGAATTCATTTGAAATATAACAACACCAATTTGTAAATGACAATTTGTATATTTTTAAGTAAAAAAATAATACAAGTTACCGTAACATTGTTTCAAAATATATATCAATTTTGAAGAATTACGTTTTCTAAGACTGAAACATTCATGAACAATTATAACATGGGATTTGAAGCTTGTTAATATTTAGAAAATAAGAAAATTAGACTTTGAAAAGTCAAAATCTAACACAAAAAAGCAAGCTAACTTTCACGGACTATAAGAAATTAAACGAGTGCTATATATAAATACTTATGTATTGTTTGTAATTAATTAAGCACAAAGCTACACAATGGGCTATCTGTGCTCTGCCCACCACCAGTATCGAAACTCGGATTCTAGCATTGTAAGTCCACAGACATACCGCTGTGCCACTGGGGGCAAACACTTACGTAAATAATGAAGGATACAAATCGCAGACGATATATGACCTATGTATATAAATTGTTTTTATTGTAAAGTACGATTGAAATACAAGAATTGCACACTATCGTTTATAAACAAAGTTCATTCGTGTGTGAAATTGTATACTGTTGAACTAACAAGTTTAATTATTATGGTGTACATAAACTGGTTTTGAAATTTTAGAATTTCTGATTTGTCTACAAATATATATGTTTGAAAGTGTTATGTTTTAGTCTCCTCCATATCATTGCAAACTAGTAATATATACATATATATGCATGCATATCTCTGTGTGTTTGTTACAAAACTTTCAAATTCCATACAAGTTTTAAGAGGGGTCTGGCCAAGTGACGACCTTGCTTGCCCTTTGTATTGCATAAAATCAAAGTTTATTGAGCCTGTCAGCTATGTTCAGTCAGATAGGCAAGCACGTGACGATGACTCAGATCTTGTATTATGTCCTTAACCTCCATTGCAGAAGAAAGATTGTTTATATCAGTACTGACATGTTTTAGTAGAAATCATTCAGTATTATGCCTAATCCATCAAAGAAACAAGATTTGTTAAAGGTAAGAATAATAGTGGTTAAACCTAGATCCTTTAAACTTTAGTGAAACAAACCAACTTATAAATCTAAACATGTGATTTAAATATGCGTCCTTTTAAGTATGAATAGATGATAAATATCAATTATAGAAATGAATTAACGATAAGTGTTTTACATATAAAACGTCAGTAAAGCCAAAAATATGTCATAAACGTTAAGTATAGAAGCGAAAACTATAGAACAAATAAATTAATAAACTACTTTATACATAAAGCAATAGATAATTGTAAAACTACGTAAGGTAAATTATTGGATATAATATTGGCCTTGATCAAATAATGGATAAATCAAGATAATATGTAAGCGTTATAATAGTTATCTCATTGAAATAAGGGTCTAACTTTTAAAGTTTTGGACACATAATTAAATATAGACACTGATGATGTATTCACATGATGAGCTCAACATCCTCTTGAAATATCCATTTATTAAAACATCATCCACCCGAACAGCACTAACCTTAGTAACACAATTTACCAAGTAATATCATCTGCCTGTAGAAATATTGTTCACCTTTGTAAAACATACTTAATGTTTTAATTAATAAGCAAAACTGTAATTGTGGTAAAATAACTTTCAATGCTGATAAGTATAAGCACATCAATATATAAATTAAACAAAATATTAATTTTAAGACTGTTTTTGTTTGTTCATTTGTAGTTAAGCACAAAGTTACACAATCCCGGTTTCTAGCGTTGTAAGTCTGCAGAAATACCGCTCTGCCACTTCATGTCCTAGCAACGGTCTCTCTGTTGAGTAACACTCGAACTATGATGCCATGTGGTGACATCTTCTAGCAACGTACTCTCTGGCAGCAAACAACTTCCGTTGTCAAGTGTCATGCCAGCCTAACAATGTGCCCCTAGCAGTATGACGTCATTCCTTGCAATGCGTCCTCTAGTGTCACTTAATGGAACTATAAGGTCATCGTGTCTACCCCTCCCTTATTGCTTGAGGTTGACACGCGTTTCGCCCTCTGGTGGGGTGCCGCTCAACACCTAGAATAACTACTAATGTTAAGTAACATTTAATATAACACATTTATAAACAGGGTCACATCAATTGGGGCGATGTATGCGTAACTAATATTAAAATTGTTAGATAATTAAATTAAATATATTGTTATAACTCTAAAAAATATTTAAAGAATACTCCTTGGAACACATCACTTCATAGCGTTCTCAGCGACTATACAAAACATTGATATGATGTCACTGGATGACATAGGCCAGAAGGCTTCAACAGCAATCAAAGGGTGAAATAGAATAGTGCCACTAGCTACTGTTTTTGGTGTATTCCCTGAGGGCTCAGCAATATGGTAAGTTTATGGACTTACATGCTAGAATCCTGGACTCGACTGTCCTTGGTAGACAGAGCACAAATAGTCCAATATGTAGCTTTGCACTTAACAAAAAACAACAATTTTAGGTGTAAAGATAAACATAACAAAATAATGTGTATATCTTTGCACGTAGTGTATATCTTTGTTATAGATAATAAGACCATTAACACTATTTTTGTTACAAGTATTTGGCATTGAGATTTATAATACAGTTTGACTGTTTTTATGGTTTCTTATATAGATATATTTAAGTTTTTATGCTACACCCGAATAAGGTTCAAATCTGAAACATTCAGCAAAATAAAATAAAAAAATCATGAAGATATAGACCTCTTATGATTTAAGCTTTTGGTGTAATTACCTTCTATTGTAAGGTACCGGTAATTGTAATACTGTAATAAACAGTAAGAGAATGTAACTATTATCAGATGCAGATACGGAGCGTCTTGAATCGAATATCTCCAGCTCTCACCTTAGATCTTCCGATCCTCGATTAGGATGCTAACCACCATGGCATGTCCTGCACTAGAATGTTTTTCGTAACAGTTTGGTTTAAAATATACGCCGTTTTAACTTCTTGCTTTAACCAAGTTCAAATTTTTAACTAAGGAGGCCAACCGTTAGCATTAGGTCTATTCACTCTTCAAGGTTACTAGATAACCGTTAGCATAAGGTCTATTCACTCTTTAAAGTTAGTAGCTAGACGGATCAGCAGTTTGGTGTTTCGCATACTAGAATATTCCAGTTATATATATATATATACAATATTTTACCCATGTGTTTACGTTTAAATATTTTTATCTATGCTCATTTACTCATACTATTTTCCTTTTTTAACCTAATATATTCTCTGCTTTTATGCTGCTATTTAGGGTTATCTCGCTCTTTGAATTCGAAGGGATTTTACTATATTATATGCATAATGCACAAACTAAGTGTTAGTGAGTATCTCAAAAGCGTTCAATGTAGTTTGGACAGGCTATGACTTTTCAAGACACCACATGTGCATCTTAAATAGTAAACGATAAATTAAAGCTGATATTCTTCATTTAAAATCTGGCCACGAAGCATGAGGTATTTATTGTTCTTTTGTATCTTGCCTACTTACATAAAAAATATAATTTTTTATGATGAAAAACAATATGGAGAAAGGAATTAAAAACTGTGATTCTCATAAAACTCACTTAGTAGAAAACGTTACAAAGTTTATATTTTAACAGTATACTCAGCTGTGAAAGTAATGAAAAGAGGTAGAAAATATGTTGTTTTCGGCAGGATTTATGCAATGTTTTCTAAATAATGTTTTCTGAGGATCACATCCCTGATATTTTAAATCTAAAACTGTTTCTTTTCGTAGTTATTATCGTAAAATCTCAAACAGAGAACGATAGTTGTTTGTTATAGGTTTTACTACGACGCCATTTTAACATCGTGTAACAGGAATTTTATGAACTAAGATAAAATTTACATTAGACTGTCTGACCCCTTTTATTTACGTTCGTGATATGATGCTCATAATGCATTTATTTTAGCTTGTGATAACTTATTCAAATGTTTGACCTTCATAAAGCATTTATTTTTAGTATTTACAGAGCTTAATATTGCTTAGCATCTCCAAAGTGAACATCGTGAAAGCTTTGAGTCTTTTTAATATTCATTCCTTATGAATACCGTGTGTTAAGATATCTGAGGACTGACAAGTAAAAACTATTAAGAACCCAACCATTTCTACACATGATGTTAGTTTACATAAGCATAGTGTTTCTAACATATGTACCTCGGTGGGACAACGGTAAGTCTACGGACTTACAACACTAAAATTCGGAGTTTGGTTAGCCGCGGTGGACACAGTAGATAGCCCCTTATGGTTTGTTCGAAAAACACACACACATATTCTAATTTAACAAACAGACATTTCTGTTTAAGTAATCCGCAATAAAAGCTTTTCTCGCAAAGATTAAACTATTCTAGTGATTAACTAAATACTGAAAGAATGGGCTTTCTAATAAGTTAAAATACATACTGGTTCTACTTTAGAGGCTTTTTTTTTTTTTTTCAGGTGCTGAAGGGGTTTCCAGACTGTCTTCAAGCTGACATATGCCTTCACTTGAACAGACAACTCTTAGAAAATACCCCACCATTTAATAGTGTAAGTCCTGGATGTTTGAGGGCGTTCTCCATGAAATTCAAAACAACACATGCTCCACCTGGTGACACGCTAGTACATCGTGGAGATGTTCTGGCAGCTCTTTATTTTATTGCAAGGGGAACAATTGAAATTTTAAAAGATGATATAGTAATGGCAATATTAGGTAGGTCAAATTGACTGTTCAAAACGTTTAGCTTATTATCAAGTATAATGTTTGTTCCTTTAAAGAAATATGCTTTTTACTATATGTTCTGTAATTTGTGTATACCGTTTCTAAAATGTTTCATTGAAGAACATAATGCTTTGTTTTTCCGGGTAATTTCCCTAATATAGTTTTCAAACTGAGAACATAAAATGATAATAAAGGTAACGTAAAGATTTTGTTGTCAGTTAAGTAAAATACACCATTTAATTATACAAGTAAAACAAGTATATTTGTCAAACTATAAACATTGAAATGATACAGTTTTTCCTTGAATTATTTTCTTCATTTGATCTTGTATTTTAGGGAAGAGCGATGTGTTTGGAGAGAACCCTTGCATCCATCAAACAGTAGGAAAGTCCAGTTGTAATGTCCGTGCCTTGACCTACTGCGATCTCCATAAAGTCCTCCGGGAAGATCTTCTGGACGTTCTGGAGCGCTATCCAGAATTCTACGATTCTTTTAAAAGTAACATGGATATCACGTTCAACCTCCGAGATGTAAGTAGATGCTGATAATTCAGTAAAAATGTACTCAGACTTGTGTGTCTATATAATACTTCCAGTTTTTGTATTTAGAAAAACAAAATAGTACTTTTTTGTTTTTTTTAATCTGCAATAATATTATAATGATCATATATACGAAAACCATATACTGATATTAACTGTTAATGATTGCTAGATATCTAATTAGTAAAATGCATAGATAGTCTTTGGTAAACGGCGCGTGAATATCATCAATTGTTTGTTTTCAGGATGAACAAGTAGCGGTTGACCCAGATATATTTAGAGGAAGATTTGCTTATGGCCAAGTAAAAACGCCCGATGAAGGTGTATTTTAATATCTGTATTGTTTTTAATTATTACGATAAATTTTTATTAATATCAGAATTTAAATTCTACAAGTCACTACAAAGTAAACCAGAAAGAAAAAAACACCAACATTAAAACACTGCGATGGATCAATATTTTGAGGACCGTTATAGAAATGATTGTTTGTTTGTTTGTAACTAAGCACAAAGCTACACAATGGGCTATCTGTGCTCTGCCCATCACGGGTATCGAAACCAGGATTCTAGAGTTGTAAGTCCGCAGACATACCGCTGTGCCACTGGGAGGCATTATAAAAATGAAAGCTATTTACATGGCATTATTAGTAAATACACCTAAATTAAGTTATTTGACAGTTATTTGTGAATTTGTGATCATATGTGATTCCTTGTTCTTTTTTTAAGACGTTATATCATGTATTATAAAAGGTTCACAGTTTAACAAGCTTGTGTGTTATTTTAATAATGACAAACAAAAATAACACAGAAGTTCCAAAGCATATCACAATTTCGTTAATAAAAGGAAGCTTACATTTTTTCATAGATTTTGATAACGACTACGTTGAATAGCTTTTATATAAACAGAAGGTTAATTACACTTTAAGATTATAAAAACGATTTGGATAAGTTAATGCAACTGTGTGTTGTCACATATGCTAGTTGTGATCCCATAAGTGACATATTAAGCAACTCATATATATATATATATATATATATATATCCATGGTCATTCCCTCACCATTCGACAGTGCAATGCTGCCAAGATAGATTTATCTACAGAGAATGTGTCACAGCCCTTCACGAAGAAGGTTACATCTATAGGACACAAAAGTTATTATAAGAGAGCCCTTATTGTTATATATGGTAATGCAAACTGTCACACAGCAGCAGCAACAGGCTTCAAAACCACGATTAACCCAATTCAGAGCAACATCTTACCCGCAAAATATACGAAAGAGGATCCTCTGACTCAATATCCATAACATTGAAACCAGACATACTTCCGAGTTTTCAGGTAAAGTATGTCTGAAAAACAGTATAATCACAGTAATTCCATTCGGCATCTATCTATAAGCTCCCGTTATGCAGCTACAAGTGACTTTTGCACATTTGATTTACTTAGAGATGGTCTTCGAATCAGATATTCAGTTTTTGAGTAGTAATACATAATTACAGCTATTAGAATGAGACGATCCACGATGTAGAAAATAAACCCAAAGATAGAAAGAATCTGGAACATCGTTCTTATGAAGTACGATTAACCCTAAGAATAATCATTTTTCCAGAAATTATTAATCTAAGCCTAAAATGAATATTCTTTCAAATGGATCCTAACAGAAAATACTTTCTCCCTTCTCCAGTTCATCATTTTATACGTTATAACAATGTTTTTCTGGTTTGCTCTGTCAAGAAATTTTGTACTGTACGCTGTCTTATTGTAAAACAAATTTGCTATTTATGTTTATTTTGTGAAAAGATGTTTGACAAATAACATAAATCAATTACATTATTATAAATAAGTAATATATAATATACATTTACATATAAATCACACTATTTATAGTATAGCATAATATACAATTACACTTATTTGTTAAAAGAAATAGCTTTGATACCTACACGTATCTATTTAGAAGAACACTTTTGTCATTCTTATGCAGCAAGTAGTATTGAAAACTATTTAATTAAAATAAAAAAACGTAAATGATAAAATCTGAAAGTTAGCTCTTATAGTTTATGGCTGATGATGGTATACTGAATACTATTTCAATGTTAATTCTTTCGTTGTTCAGCATATCATTTATTTTGAATGTGCTTTTATTCTCTTCAAACAATCTCTTTGTAAATTTTTACCCCTCAACAGTTAGACGATTCAGTATTACTTCAAAAATTGCCCCCCAGTGACACAGCGGTATGTCTGCGGACTTACAACGCTAGAATCCGGGTTTCGATACCCGTGGTAGGTGGAGCACAGATAGTCCATTGTGTAACTTCAAAAATCAACGCATTCTTCAACCTCAATTAGCCACATATTTACTCTGTTAAATTGTTCAAAACAGATGATAAAAGAACATTAAACCACCGTTGATTTTTCAGATTTTAACAATATTTTGATAATATGAAAAGTTATGACAATTTACAGAAATATTTAATTACCGTGAAATTTTTCTTCTTGAACAGAAGTATGTGTATATGTTCATTATGAAATTTGTTAACAACTTATTAAGCGTATATGATTATTTTCAATAAAATGTTACGACTTCATTATTTGAATGTGACTGCTGAAGTGTTCTATTCCTAGTGGAGGATCCGCGTGTTGTGGCTTACCAATATCCTCGACCCAGAAAGCGGAAAAAAGCTTCTCATATTCAATCATCTGAATGTATCACAGAACTAATTGATGAGGTACATAATAGGAGATACAGTGGAACGGGAATCTTAGAGTTTTCGCCACAAAAAGCAGGTCAAGACATAACCTCTGCAAACCTAGAATTTGATAATCGGTCTAATAAGCGACGTAGTACACTTCAATCACTTTTCGGTAGGTGATAATGTCAATTTATCTACCAATCTGTCTATGTAAAGTCATTTCTTCACATAGTGTGGAATCGGCTTCTGAATGAAACTTTTAAGCAACTCTAGAGCTTCCATTAATTTGAAATTGGATGGTATGTCTCGTTGCTATTTGAAATACGTTTCATGCATGCCTTATTCTTATGAGTTAAAACTATATCACCAATTTACTTTACAAAACTAATAACCTGAAAAAAAGAGCCTCCCTCAATTTTGTACTTACCAAATGTCGTATGTAATTTACATATTTAAAAGTTATACTTAAAAAATATAAAATGCATGGTACGATGATAAAAGTTTGACGTAGAGACCATGGCCGAACCCTGAGATATATTATTAGGATTATTTTCAAAAATATCGTTAACAGCGAGGGTACCCAACTGATGAAACAGAGCATTCTAATCTTCATAAGTAAAGAAGTAAGAAAAGTATATTTAATTAGCCATACTGATTGACAGGTTCCTTTAGTTTCACTAGAAGTATTCGTTTGTTCTGATTGGAAGTTAATATTGATAATGTTTATGACATTTTATAGTGTCTGCAATTAGTGTAGAGGCTTTTTTTTTATAAACACCATGTCAAATTATATAAAATGTAAAAAAAAAATTACAAAATTTAAAACTAGTTGTTTGCATTTATTCATACTTGCTGATCTATACCTTAAACCTTTCTTAAAACATTAACTGAACTGAAAATCCAACAAAAAAAGAAAACTTGACCCTTGATAAACAGCTAGACTCGAAGATTTGTCTCGATTATGATTCTTATCAAATTTGTGTAATTTGTAATAACTTATCTTGTCGGTGAAAATGTTCTTCTTTCAATTTTATGATTTATGTTTTTCACCAGCAGGTGGTGCTATGTCAAGCGTAACAAATTTAACTAGAGCGATTTTAGGTGGTGCCAATGAGACGATCACTGACCGGTCTCGCTCTGGGAGTCTTACCATGAGGTTAGAAGAAAGAACAGAGAATGGAAACACTGCCTTTAGACCAGAGTCAAGAATTGGTTCAGTTAACGACATCGACAACAATAAGATTCCAGTATCAGGTTCTGTACCAAGTATGTACCTGAACTGTAGTTAACCGTTATATTCATGGATATAAATAAACTTGTATTTAATTTCATAGGAAGAAAAGTTATTTAGAATGTTTGTGCATTAAACATTTTAGTAATTATATTTAATAGAGTAAGTAACTTTCTGACAAATTACTTTATGAAATTTCTATAAATATTACATTAAATTAAAATGACTATAATGTCTAGTAAGTTAAATGATGAAATTGTTTAATAAATTCAGTTTTCTATTTATTATATCACCACAGTCATCGCTTTAAACATACAGACTGTAGAGAAATTATTGAAAAATAGCTTGCCATCATCAAAACCTATAATTATTCGAATTATCATTTGTTGTGTATATATCTAATATGTGTCGTTTGTATTTGATTATTCAAGAAATCTGCCGATTTTCTTTTTCCTTACTATAGCTTTAATATAAAGAATATTTTTTTCATAAGTAGTTGTATTTCTAAGTTCCACATTTTTTTCACTTTAATGTTGTTTTATTTGTATTCTTTATAGGTGTAGAATGTTATACACTCTTCGACTTTGGAATAACTAGACATTTTAACACTACTACTATTTTCAAGTTGTATTTTAGTTAATATTAAAACGGACTGTGCCGTGTACCAATGAGGCTATTTGTAAAATATATATAAATGTTTGTATTTATATTTTTGTATGTATGGCAAAGCTATTAAAACTATACACCGCATTCCACAATTTTGAACTACTAACCAGACGAAAGGCAGCCAATCAGCAGCCTCCTACCACTCACAATCCACGCCTAGAAGTTAACTGTCACTCTTACAACGCACTCACAGCTTAAAGATAAACAGCTGTGCTACCTCAGAAGTATACGAATCATTTGAACAAAATGATCAAGCACCTCCAAGTTTTATAATAATATATCTTTGAATGTGCCGTAATCTTCATTTTCTCATTGGAAATCTTGTTTTATTAATGGGATAACGTACATCATACTCTTTTGTAATATCATTTTTCCATAATATTTCCTAGTGTGTCGATAGAAATCATAGGCAGTGTTCACAATTGGGACATATCTCGGTACTTTTTAAATAGTCAACATCCGAGGGAACCAGCTAGTTCGAAAAAAAATTAAACTTAGTGAATATTCAATAATCCATCTCTTTTATGAAAACTATTTTGTTTTCGTCCACTAATAGATAAGACAATATACAAATAATACTGGTTATTCAAAGGTCCCTTTTTTAGCTAAACATAACACTCTTCAACTCTTCATAAAAAGATTCTTGTTTAAACTATTAGCAGAAACATTTGACTTTTTTTATGAATTCTTTTTGAAGGTTTCTTTCTCGTTCTACGTGTTACTAAACTTCTTTTGAAACTTTCACTTAGTAACCGGATTGTACATTGTCTTCGACATCCTTCTAAAAATATGTAACTAACAATTGATACTAGAGCTTTATTACATTTTGCGTGATGAAGAAGGACATAAATTAATTTTTGATTTTTGTTGTTTCGCATGTCATCATTGACAGATATGTTTTGTTTCCAGAATTCTTTTTTTTTCTTAAGTATCATTGCATTTCATTTATCAAGGACCAAAATGTAGGCTTTAGTTTTCTTTCTTATTTTTTCACGTAAGTCTTAATGTGTCTGGAAGTTTGTACTGAGAGTTGTTGTTTAAAAGCAATGTTTTCATTAGTACGCTCACACATCTCTTACTTAAGTAGAATATTAACGAATGCAGGAACTTACTCTTACTAATGTCCTCTTCGTGTTTTTCATGTTACAATATTTTGTTTGTTTCGAAATATTTTCACTTATGTTACTATCAGTTAAGGGAATTCCAGAAAAAGATAAAACTGTATCTTGTTCTTGTTATTTTGCTGTATTACTTTTCTATTGCAGTAAAAGGTAAAGCTGAATCTTGTTCTTGTTATTTTGCTGTGTTATTTTTCTATTTTAGTAACACTAACAGCAAGGTAAAAAGCAAAGTTTTAAAGTAACCATACTTTGCTAGTATATATATTGCAGAGGTAAAATCGAAAGTTGTGAACCAACTATGATAGAAGTGTAACCTATGGCCGTGAGTTACAAAACTTCATTAGTATATCTAATTAACGATCTGCATCCTTTAACTTTAAATCCAAAAAAATATTTATTGATCAATACTTATGATCATACTGAAGCAATCTATTTTATCCAACAGGGCATTAACTATTTCTCATAATATTTTCTAATAAGTTACTGTCCCATATTTTATTTTTTATTTTCCTTTGTTTAGATATTTGCTTTTTTTCAGTTTATAACCATTCTTGTCACTAGCTCCATTTGGTGTTACAGTTTCAGGGAGAGCTCTCCTCACTTCTATAAAAAAAATCGTCATCTATGCCACTAGATAGCGCTCCTAGACTAGCTGTTTCAAGAAGCGCCATTGTCTCACCTCTATCGTCCTCAATTACGGGAAAACCCGTAACTCAGAAATGCAGGTCTGGACCCGGCCTCCTCGCTTCTAACGATACTAGCACCGCCAAGCAGACAACGATTAATGTTCCAGAGTTGAGCTCCAGTTTAACCATTCCTATGTCATTCTCGACCCCATATTGCCCTCATTCACATGACGACGAAAGTTCCACTCCTTATCTTCCATATCCGAGTCATTTAGACTTAGGAACTCTGGAGTCGAGAATAGATACTCTTAGTAGGTAGGTAGTTGTGCTGTCAGTTATGTTATGGGTGTGTTCTTAAGAACCTTATCATGCAGCTTAGTTTTGAATATTTGTTTATTTAAGAAGAATTTTTAGAATCATAAAAAAACGCAAAATTACCATTTACTAAATTTAATATAGCTTTAAAAAACAACAACTACAAACCTCAATCGTACATGCGAATAACTTAAAGTATCAATTCCCTTTGAGAACAACTGTTAGACAAATTAATATGTCATGCTGTGTGCCACCACATAATTTTCTTTATGTTTAAATTCCACCCAAACTTTTATGCTTTAAATAATATTTGTAAAAGAATTTATACAGTTTGGGAAATGTTTTTTTCGGATCACTTTTTATGGGAAATAATACCATATTTTCGTGCAGTAGGTCCTTGCTTTATAATTTATCTGAAATCTCCTTTTTTAAGGCTTAATGGAGGACTCAACATAGACAAGATATAATATAATCCTCTATATATACGGTATTTGCTCAACGTTCCCTCTTGTTAAAAGAATGTAATGACACTTATATAATTTACTGATTATTCGAGTTTCCTGAAGGTCATGAATATGAGATGAAATATGTGTAAATTTCAACGCTGGTATTAGTCGAGGTAGTTATTTTCCTTTTGCTGCCTTTTCTATTTTTTGGTTTCAAATTATATAGTTCATTTTTCATGTATGGAAGAAAATACAGGATATTTAATAAATATAGCAAATGGGAGATAAGCAATGTGCCAAATTGGCGTTTACAGCTTAGTTTTTCTTTCTTGGTGATAAACCTGTTCTTGTAATAGCACTATATATATTCTTATCCCAAACTATGTTATTAGCTTATATGTCATCATACTTTAGCAATAATGCAATCGAAAGTGGAAACTGTGGCCGAAAACCGCTGATGATATAAAAAGGCATTGAGACAAATTAATCGATTCGTTAAAGCAGTGGTCAGGTAACGGTTTCCTCGAGCGATCATATACATCATTATATTTATGATTGTCAAAAATACAGTTAAAGGTATTGTACTGCTTTCTTATGTAATTTTAGGCAATGCAAGAATGATATATTTCTACATAATTGTTTCAGAGAAGCCTTTTTCTTGTAACACCTATAGTCACTAAATATCAATGCTTTTAGAGTGTATTTGGGATAAATTAAAAAATCACATTCGTTTCTGCTGACATATTTGAAACCAGTTGCAGACGATACTCTGTGGCAAATAATACCACCAGTGGGTCAGCGGTAAGCTTAGTACTTATAACGCTAAAAATCTGGGTTTGATACTAGTGGTTGGCAAAGCACAGATAGCCCGTTGTGTAGCTTTGCGTTTAAGAACAAACAAACTAATGATGAATATGCTACGATCGAAAAATACATCTTCTGGCATCATATAAAATTTTTGCTACGATGTGTCTAGACTATTATCGTATTGGAATATTTATATCTTATGTTAGTTGTGTGGACTTGTCTTACAGTGATGTGATGTGTTTTAGAAACTGTACCTTTATGATCTAGCAATCTATTGATACACCGAATAATGTTGTGGATCTATTTTATAGAGACTTAGTTTAGGTACTTTGATGTGACAGCTATGTCTCTCCGAACTGATGACAGAATACATAAGATGTATTAGTTGCCTTGACTTATTTTACAGTGACATGTTTTAAACATCTTCGTGTTACACCTATATTATGACACATTCCATATAACGCATGAAAACAGTGCCACTTTTTGCTGAGCACAGTTGTTTTCAAATCTACTCTTGCGTAAATAAGATTATTTCTTTATCGTAACATACTTCCAATCACATCTGGGTGTTTCTCAATTGTGCATGTTGTATTTTTTTTCTGTGATTGAACCAACTGCTAGCCCATATAATTAAAAAAATATTCTGTAGAAATAGTAATCAATGCTATGCCGAGTAGTGTTCTTTAAACGAAAATTGGCCTAGCTGTATACCACACATGTTTATACCAAAGTGGCTTCCGACGAGAATGAAATTATAAGACAACGATTCATTAGCACAATATAAAGACCTGACGTCCTTTTGTAAAGAAAAGAAATAGTTATAGAGGATCCACAGTAGCAGAAAAAATGTTTTCTGCTTATAATAGAAGAAACTAAAAAGCATAGAGATATCTTTTTATTTAGAAGTAACTGTGAAAAAAGTGATATTTCGATTACAAGAGCTATTCTTGACTACAAAGTACAGTCTTGTAGCCGAAATGTCTTATTTACCGTGTTGTATATTCATTTATAAAATATTTGTTTTGGATATTACGCTAAGCTACACAAGGGTTATATGTGTTAGCTATCCCTAGTTTTGAAAGGAAGACTATTGTTAAGCTACTTTAATCGAATAGTGGAACTTAACATTCATTCTTATAATACACCAAAGGCCCCAGAATGCAGAACATGATTTTGCGTATAACGATAACTCTGCGAACTCAGATCATCAGATTCACAGTCTGGCACTCTAAACATTAAAACCACGCCCATACCTTATCTGTAAATGGACAAGAATTTTTCTCTAATACCATAATATCGGTATGTTCTGCTTAAAAGCGTTTATCTATGATTATTATTCACCAGAGTTAATAATTACGACCGAAGTTCGTATGCTTGAGGTCCCAGTTGCTAAAAAAAGAGGTGTAGCATAAAAATTTATAACAGATTAAGCAGCACAAAATTGTGTTAACTAATATTTTCCTGCAGTGGTAATATATATATTGGACAACCATTACAACTAATCCTAAGCTTACAACAATCGTAAACATATACTTCCCATATAAAATAATTTAATAATCTAGACCTAAGTTTAAACTTAATCAATTAGTTGTCTCGCGTCTGAGACACCATTCCATTTTATTTTAAATAGGTAAAATCTATGGCATCCTGAATTATCCTTACGTATTTATGAAAATAATTCAAAATATGCAATAACCCGAGCCATATGTAACCCTACATGTTTAGACTAACAATTACGGACAATTTCCAAGATTTAACGCAGACCTTTACTTTCTTAGATATGTAACCTTTTTTTTTTTATCTAATGTTTAGAATATTCTCTTAAAACTGAAAGGGTTAGATTGTTTATACTTATTTGTTTGTTATGAAGCACAAGGATACACAATGGGCCTTTGCCCACCGCAGATGTCGAAATTCGATTTTTAGCGTGAGGAATCCATAGATTTACCGATCAACAACCAGGAGACAGAATTAGATTGAAAATATTCTAGTTACAAAGTCAATTAAATATGAATGAATGTTTTGCTATTGGTTGTTGAATATGTTCGGTTATGTTATCCATATAAAAAAAGGTTTAATAATTTTTACGTTTGATGGTTTCATATTTTATTATACATTCATTAACTAATTCTTTTCAGTTTCGCAAATGCAGTGTAGTTTTCAATGAAAGTGTCTTCTACTGCCAAGATATTCATATTAAACATTTTTTGAGATTATGTTGTTTTTGAATTTCGCGCAAAGCTACTCGAAGGTTATCTGCACTAGAAGTCCCTAATTGTGAAGTGAATAGAATAAAGGAAAGGCAGCTAGAAAACACTGTCCAACGCCAACTCGTGGGCTATTGTAATCGACTAGTTGGATATGACAATCACTATGTGCCCACTGTCCCAAAGTGCGGGGCGCGACTTATAAATATTTTCGACAATAGGGCACAAACTACGGTTCTTCAAATCCACAGTTCAGCATGCTAACCTCTTGGCTGCACTTGGCTATACTGAAACGCATTGTTTTTTCACCAGTGTTAGCAAAGTAGTTTCTTAAGTACTTCGTTAAACACGACATAATTAATGTAAAACAAAAACGACTAAAATCAGTTTTAAGACATAATGTTTCTATAACGAAGATAACTTACTTATTTTAAAATTCACGCTATTGTACCGCACTCATAAAATAACTGCTGACTTTATATATAGAGGCTGTTTTTAAATGATAAAATTCGGTAGGTACACGAAATGCATTTGTGCTACGCGGAGGCTTATGCGCTCTGAATTGCTCATATTTAAACTTTACTGTATTTGTGTTATTGTAACTGATAATTTTTCTCTCTTATCTTTAGGCATGTTCAAAATTTAGAGGATCATGTCACGAATAATATGCAGATAATAATGCAGCATCTGTCACAGCTTCTCCAAACTTCTGCTATTTCTTACACAGCAGCACCATCAGTTGGCAGTACTAATTTTCGGCCTGTTGAAGAAGTGAAGACCTCTCAATTTATACCAAAACAGATATCTTTCAAAAGCCGTCTTGCTTCAGACAGGGTAAGAAGTAAACCCTGCAGAAGAGTTAATAGCTTGCAGTGTACTCATTCTTCTTTGGGAAAGCATAGAGTAAAATCTCTCTCGCAGAGTCTAGATTTAGGAAGGTTAGTAAAATTTTGAGGCATTTCAGAGATATGTGCTTATAAAAGTCAGATTTTTGATTTCCCTTAATACCAACGTCAGTACTGGTAACTGTCTTATAAAATCCAGTGTGGATCATATAAAACAGATATAACATGACGTTTATATTATTTTTTCGTTTAGATCTTCGTTTCTGTTTTTCACTATTTTATTTTAAGTAGGACTAATGTGAAAGATTATCTACATCTAAGAAAATTTATATACCACTCTCAAAATACACCTAATTTCACAGTACTTTTTATTAATTGAAGAATAAACCACTAAACCAGCAATACTTTCAATATCTGACGTATAAGATTTGGTTTATTTACTAGTAAATAACATGCAAAATAGCTTAAATTAAATTCTGTGAGGCACTTCTGAATTGAAGATTTTAACGAATGTTTGATTTTATTTAATAAGCTGAACTTGAGTTATACGTTTTGGTTGTGATCATAACAAATCAATGATAATACTTCTCATCCTCGCAATGAGCATGTCTTCTCATCAAGTTCTAATATTTTGTTTTATAAGTTTTCTCTCCATATTTCCATATATATAGTGTCTAAGTTATGTTCTCATGTATATTGTATGATTTATAGTTTCAGGAATTAACAGAATTTAAAACTAGGTTACAATTCATTACTAACAGATAATGAACAATTCCTTTATCATAGCATTATATTGCAAGCAAGAACATCTCACAACCAATGTTTTCTCTGATACACTTCAGCATCGTATTTCATCTTTGTGTTATAAATTAGAAAATGCATTTTATGAGATTATCTTAGATATCGTATTTATCTATTTTATTTAGATCTTTGGAAGAGCCTGTATTTGAAGATCAGCCTATCCTGAATTTGCCTGAATCACTAAATGCTCATTGCGTTGAACAACGCCTTACAGCGCCCTCTTCTGTGCATGAAGACTCTCATATTTCTATGCGTAGCCAATCACAACCTACCGATCTAATCCAGGTTAACTAATTTTTATCCAGCTTAGTTACCTTTTAACGTATTTATTGGTTGAAGCTTTTTATGTTTTTCATATTTCTTTTAGTGCTGATTAGAGTATTGGTGTTATGAAGCCTTTGTGTTTTCTTTTATACCTTGAGAACATATTCATTCAGTAGTTGGGTATATCGCAAATTTAAATATCTACTTGACAACTCTGTCCCTTTCATCAATAGCACCTAATATTTTAATTACAGGTATTCACTTGATAACTCTGTCCCTTCGTCAATAGCACCTAATATTTTAATTACACATATTCACTTGACAACTCTGTTCCTTCGTAAATGGCACCTAATATTTACACTTCAGAAAAGCAAAATAATCTTATTTAATACAAAACAAAATAGCATGAAAACACAGATATGTATTTTAAAATAAAAATGAAATGCTATCTTCTCGAAAGCATGATACTGTTCGACTTAAACTTTCAGAAACATCAGTTTAATTATACAGAATGGATGTAATCTAACACCTCAGTTTTAGTTATTATGGCTGGCAAATATTGCTACATCAAAAATGTCAATTGAATTTTACTTTGTCTCGAAGTACTTAGTTTAATATTTTCTTGCTTAAGTTACTAAAGAAGTTTACCTTTAAGGAGTCTTTCCAGACACAAAATAAGAATGCATTTTATATTAATGCAGAGCTATTTGGGATGTTCCAAAAATATATTAAGAAAAACTGGAGCATATGTTCAGTTCAACATGATGACAGACTTTTATATAATAGCAATACATATATTTTAAAATAAAGTGCCTATTCATAACAAACAATATTATTAAAATATGCTTACAACATTGAGTCTATAAATCGTGACAATATCAAAATTATTAAACTATTTCATGAATTCAAGAGGGGTATCCAGGTTTTGCTGACATCTAAACTAGATTGGCTAATAGTGTTATCAGTTAATTGGATGTGGAATGCTTCTCTTGTCGTTTTCTTTCTCGTGTATGGTTCATATTCCATTATTTTAACCTCTTACAATTTATCACAGCATATATGACAAACTATCAGAAGACTTGAAATTGGAGAAAGTATTTTCGACACATTCTTGCATCCTTTTCAGTCTCACGTTATCTCTAGAGACAAGGGTTGTCAAATGTCTTATATTTATAGTTTTTGCATAGAAGGACTTTTTTTTTGTATACTGAATGATATGCCTTTTGCATAAGCTATATATGAATATCTATCAGCAATTTTTTCGTTGGTTTAAAATCAATATTTCATTTTTCAGCTACGGTTTACACGAAAACGTTGGGTTGTTGATCTCCGTAATTTTGTTATCTGATGCCGCGTGAATCTGCGTTTGTTTGTCATATTGGTTATGTTATTTGATTAGTGGCTGTATCATAACTTTGCTGCTATCTTAGAGTGATAGCTCGTATTGCCACTTTAACTTTAGAGGCAAAATATACTGTTTAATGTAGTTTAAGAGACAAATCTTTGTGTTATTTTACATATTTTTTGTATTATTCAATCTTCTACAAATGTATCTATCGATATATATCCTTCAATTTAATGGCTGGCATATCTTAGTAATTCTCAGCGTTGAAGTTTTTTAGGACGTTTCTTTAGGCGGAAGGACTATTGCTATATTTTATCATATATAATAGATACTGGTTAACTTGAGGTTTTATTTTGTACATAAAAGAAGAAGGATATCTGGAATTCAGCCACAATTCCATTCTCTTGTATGGTTATTGATAACTGATATCAGCATTTACATTTAAATATAACCTATGTAGATCGTGACAATCTGTAGAGAGCCCCATACCGTGATCATTCTTTTGGCTTATATGTATAACTTTTTCTCAGAAAGTATTCTACTTTGTTTGATGTTTTTTGTTTTTTGTAAACGCTTAAAATATGAACAGTGAAACTTTCTCTCAATAGAGGACTTATGAAGATATTTTCAGATTTATAAAAGCGCTCCGATAAATATTCAAATATCCACTGCGTAGTTTTGACCGAAGCTAACTTGCTCTCGGTCCCAGTTTGATGATTCCGACATCTGTTACTGCTTGAATAGGCCTTGGGAGATATCGCAGTTTTGGGTATGTTAAAATTGTAATAAAAATTTCAAGTTAATGAGTATGTTTGAAATTAAAAAGCATGACCATATTTTATTTCCTCTCTCTTGGAACAGTCAAAAATGATTCTGCCAGTTCATACTTCAAGGAGTCAGAGTGATAGCTGGATAACAAAACACAAAGTAACCTCTCCAACTGTCCGTCACGGTACTTTATCTTCGGATAGAGAAGTGAACCGAAGACCTTCTACTGGTAACTGTAAGAGGGTTCGTGGACGATCATTTATGGTGCAAGAACAAGGAAGAGATTCTAAGACTTCGGATGTATAAATACGTATAATTCGTTCACCTCTCAATCTATTTTTATACTACCAATGTACCACTAATTTATTGTTGATTTTTAACATCATATAATATGTACATTCTCTAAAACTGAAGACATATATAGGTCATATGTCTTATCCATAACAACCTCCGACAATGGTTTAATAATATTTTAGAGATTGCTGGATATGAAGACTACAGTAGCGAAGTATTAGCAAAACATTATTCTCAATTTACTGTCGATTATATTTTAATTCTGAGGTCAAATCCAAGAATACTGGAGTCATTTTACATCATAACAGCATCTTTTATATAATTCTATTAACTTTAGTTCTATAATCTAAAGTCGTTTAGACAGTTTAAAGTTACAATTCAAATTGAAGGGAAAATGGTGATCTTAGCTGGTTCTATATAGTTAAAATCCTGGGACAGTGATAAAATGATGTTTAGTAGCACAGCCGTATAGTCAAATAGCACACATTAGGCAATGAAGCCCTTCAGATGATGAAAATAGCTCAAATGTGATGAAACGCAAGTCTGGCGTATGCAATAAGCACTAGAAGTACTCCTTAAAGGATGACATGAAGCTTCTTCATGTATGATAGTAAATGTAACGAAAATAAATGTTAACTTATGCATTAGGAGCACTCTAAAGAATGACATAAAATCCTTTCAGATGAGAGCAAATGTCATAAAATCAAGGTTAGCTTATGCATTAGAAGTACTCTTTAAAATAGCATGAAGTCCCTTCAGATGACAGCAAATGTAATGAAAATTAATGTTAGCTTATGCCTTAGAAGTACTCTTTAAAATAGCATGAAATCCCTTCAGATGACAGCAAATGTAATGAAAATTAATGTTAGCTTATGCACTAGGAGTACTTTCAAAGAATGGCATGAAGCCCTTTCAGATGATATAAATTTAATAAAAATCAAGGTTAGTTTATTCATTTGAAGTACTTTTTAAATATGGCATGAAGTCTCTTCAGGTAATAACAAGTTTTAAAAAACATCAAGTTTAGCTTATAGAATAAGCTAAACTAAGAACTAAGAGCACTTTAAAACTTTATAGAACTAAGAGCACTTTAAAAAACAGCAAGAAGTCTCTTCAAATTATAGCAAATATAATAAAAAATAAGGCTAACCTATTCATCAGAAGTATTCTATAAAAAGTGGCTTGAAGCCCCTTCAGATCATGGCAAGTATCCAAATATAATGAAAATCAAGGCTAACTTATTTATTAGAAGTATTCTATAAAAAGTGGCATGAAGCCCCTTCAGATCATGGTAAGTGTCAAATATAATGAAAATCAAGGCTAGAATACGCATTAGGAGTATTTTTTTAAATTATCATTATCAACAGACTGAAATCGTTCAAAACGTTCCAAGTGCTTTGTATAAACAACATCAAAGAATGAAAATATACAATATTAGAAAATTTAACTAGTCTTCTCAAGATGATTTTATAAACGTGTAATAAAAATGAACGTTCCCTTCAACTGATTGGTATTGAAAAGCTAAATAATTATCTTCTTCAAGTGCACAAGGGGTTTGATATTTTTATCAATATCTAAGTATGGTTGTGAAAGTTATATTTATTAATTTTTTCGTTGCTTTATAACCTACATGCTATATTCTCAGGGGAACGAACACTTTTTTGGACGGAGTAGAATACTGTTCATTTTAAACTTAAGAATTATGGCTTAGAATTAATTATTTATCTGTAAAATAATCTTTCATTTTCTTAGTTAACAGAATCACTTTAATTTATACAGATAAACAGCATCCTTATTCCAAAGAAATTACAGATAAAAAATTAACGACTTTAACTCTTCTAATGCGACGTTTGGCGATAAACAACTCTCCCAGTAACAGAGTTATTTATTTTTTTCTGATAAAAATAAATTAAAGAGACACGTGTTTTAATATTTCATTTGTCAACTGAAAGCTGGAACTGGTAAATTTTGGAAACTTAGAAGGGGCACTGTTTCTTCATGGAGGTACAAAATACAGTTGTCGTTGTAGTCTCTCTAGACAACACTTCTTACTTACTATAAAGACTTTCTTTTTTTTTAAAAAAAAGGAGAAAAAATAGACTTAATACCAAAACAATATGTACATAACAATCTTTGAAACAGGGTTTATTTCTGTAAATGCTAGATTTAATAAGCATTTGAAATGAAACAGGTACAAGTTTCGTCAGATACTTAATTCTAGTACAAAATGCGTTAGATACATCACTGATACAAATGGTTAAGGAGCATATGAGGATAAAAAATATTTGTTTTCCAAATTAATTTGAACTTATGTATTCTGGAAGTTTGACCATGATCGAATTGTATACGAAAGTTAGGGATCACCGTATTAAAGCTTAATTACTAGTAATTTTCTTCTATACAAAAACAATTATTCATTTCTTTTCACATATTTCGATAATCTTGCTAAATAATTTCGTCTTGTAACCATTTGTCGACAGAAGCTTCATTCAATTTAAATTATTATATATGAAATATTATGTTTCAGCGATATAACCAGATTTGGAAAGTCCAAAGGGAGAGGGGGTACTTTGTTTTAAAGAATCCGTTCTAGGATTCCCTTTTAAGAATATTGGTAGATGGACGGTTACAATTTCATACAATAATGTTATTTGTAAAAACAATTTACTCTAATAAATATATGCCTTACCTCCTTACAATCCATCCTTTTATTGTTATGGATTATGAAATATTTTCTTTACCAACACAATGAGGTGTTTTAATAACAAATTTGTAAGTATTAAATTATAGTGTTACTGGAAAACTGGACTGAGCAGCAGGTTATAATTACATATTTATTTTTCGATTTATCAAAAACAAACGGTCTCTTATTTAAAACAACCTACTTAAAAATCAATTGTTAGAATCGTGATTCAATATGTCGTAGCATGATTTGAAAAACTTAAAAGTAAGAGATAAAACTTTATCTAGTGTTTATTTAACACTCGAATTTCGGTGGAGTACATAGGAAACCCAAGTGTTTTTGAAACATTTTTCTGAACTGTTTATACACCAAATTGCTTACGAGTCCATATATTTATTGGTTAAATGGTTTATAAAAACTCAAAAAAGTTTAACCATTAACGTTGTAATCAATCGAATTAATGGTTTCTGTATGTATCTTACATAGAAAATGAATGATTTCAACTAAGCTTTTTAGTAAGTTCTTTACTCATATAATACAATATGTAGATCTCACAGATAATAAACAGTACTAAAACAAATTAGTAATTTGAGAGTTAACATAAACAAGCATTTGTTAGTCTGGGAATTTATTTTTACATTAGTGTAGTAATATAAATATTGTAATGAGTAAGTTTAACATAGCTAAACCAAGTTTGAACTGAATAACCACCTTTAAAACGAAGTTTATTTAAGTAAAAATACAAAATCCTTATAAAGCAAACCTCAACTTTTTGTAATAAAGCGTAGCCATCGGTATAAGTTTCAAACGATGTCCTCATTTTTGATAATATAACCTCATTCAAATAATTGCTGATATGCGATATCAATTTTTATTTTCGGGTGAGCAACATGTTTTGTATATGTTATAGGTTAACATACCTGTTTAATATATATTGAAAATGGATTGAATCAAAAATTTACAATTTAAAATTTTTAACAGCAAATATTATTTAACAATTAAATATTAATTGGTACTTTGAAACTAATTAGTATAAACTAACTTTTCCCTACATTTCCTAGAAAATAGAGGAATAATTAACGTAAATAATACCTTCATCAAACGTGTTTATGAAACGAGAGTGTATATAAAATCTAGAACTATATTTGATGAAACTTTAGGCAGTTTTTTTAAAAAGTGCAACATCAAAGTTATTTGTATAATGTTTAAACTCTCTTGAATGTGAAAATTAAACAATTTTTGATATTTCAAGTCTTAGAAGAAACGTGTTCAATGATTACTGTTAACCACAGTTAAAATATGAATTAACTTTTATTGAAATCACATTTTCAATACGAAAATTTTAATATTTTTCATTTAATAACTATTGGAGACAAAGCTTAGAAAAATCAGCAAATTTCAAAAACAAGAATTTAAAAACTTCCCTATTTAAAAATATTTGAACCAAATGTACGTTTGAAAATAAATGTTGCCGTAAATGTGTACGTGTAAGATCTACTGTTTCATGTGAAAATAATTTTACATGCATGAAGTAATTTAATAAAATCTAGAATATTTGTTGAATATTGTCAGTTTCCGATTTAACTATGTATGTAATAGGTTAAAATATATCAAGGGTATCAACTCTTCTAATCCATTTGCTGTTTGTTCAAGTTTGCTTATGTAAACTGTATCAGTTGAATTTGTCCAAATTGAGGTTTTTATTAATGACAGCGTCTTGTACATTTTTGGTATTATTCCATTAAATTTCATAAGGTCAAAAATAAAGTTGTGAATTAAAACACAAACTGAAGTGATTTAATCGTAGTATATCAAATTATTCATATCTAACTTCATTCCAAAACACGTAGTTAATATCTTTAATAATGTAATTGTCAGAATGTGAAATTTATCTGTTCAAAACTACATATCAAGGAGAATTTAGATAAGAAAAATTGCTTTATCTTTAGAAAACATAGAAATTAATAAAAGGTTTGGGTTTTAGCTTACTGAAACATTGTATATTAATTCATCAAATAACTTCTTTATCTGTTTAAACTACAAAGGTAAATCTGTAATCTGAAGCTTTATAACGTTAAAAACCAGGTTTCGATACCCAACGTGGGCATAGTACAGATAGACGTGTTTGTTTGTTGTTAAGAGCCAAGCTACCCAATGGGAAATAAATAAAACTGTATGAACTATGAATATTTTATGCTATATAATATATTATATTTGATTTAAAAGTGTTAGTTTTAAAGCATATTTTGTGATTCTTTAAGTACCTGGTATCATATAACGTTTTTGAATCACTGTTATCGAGTTTATATCCAAAAAAACTCTAATACTGTTAACTGTATGTTTTCCCTCTTCCCTTCAGACATGGCATAGCCTGATATTTAGATAGCAGTATACCACATGTTCAGTTCAAGAAGTTCTGTAATATTGTCAGGGGTTTATATAGTTTATATACAGTATTTATATAAATACAGTTATAGAATAATATGGAAAAATCTGAAAGAAAGATATTTAGAGAATGCATAAAGAAATTGAAAGGTGGAATTTTAATATAAACACAAATGTAGAGTCATTCTAATATCACATACAACTGATAAGAAAAAGCTGAATTTGCTTTATTTAAAAAATGGAAAATTTTACATAATATTGCTGTTTTTGAAACTGAATGAATAAGTTAAATCATATTTGTACATGAATTGATTGTACTTTTAGAGATCCCCTAGTGACAACCATTGACAATTACGCCCATATCTAAGAAACGCTACAACTCAGCTCATATAAAAAGGGAGATGCGTTATCGGCAGATAATTTCGCCTCTAAAAAAATTAGATTCCACTGCCTGTGCGAATCGAGTCTGAATAATAGGCACGTGTTTAATTATGCACATTATTTGGACGTTATTATGCAAAAGTGACTTAACCCACAAAAGCCCAAAGATTTTTTTCATATTTTCTGGACTAATCAAATGTTAGTCTTTCTTGTGAAAAGCCCCCCAGTGGCACAGCGGTATGTCTGCGGACTTACAACGCTAGAAACCGGTTTTCGATACCCGTGTTGGCAGAGCACAGATAGCCCTTGTGTAGCTTTGTGCATAATTAAAAACAAACAAACAATTTTGTGAAACATTATCTAAACGCCCTCCACTGGAACAGCGACATGTCTGCGGACTTACAACGCTAGAACCGGGTTTTGATACCCGTGGTTGGCAGAGCACAGATAGTCCATTGTGTAGCTTTGTGCTTAACTTTAAACAAACAAACCATTTTCTCAACAAAATTTCTTTAGACTGTTGCTTTGGGCTGGAAAGTTCTAACCCACACTCGTATTATCAAGATCATTTTTGAATAACAACTTTTGAAAATGATAAAGGTAAGGTGTTGAATGTTCTGTAATTACACGTAGATATACATTTCTCGTTGTATTTACCATCTCATTTGTTTATTTTCCTGGTGCAAAAGAGTGTTATGTGACACCGAAGTGCGCATAGTACCTTTTTATCCTTTCAAAGTTATTATTACACTTTGGAATATCCTTAACCCTAA